CCAGGGGGAGGCACATGCCTCCCATGATTTGCACACAGGAGGAGGGCGGGCTGCCCACTACATGCTAGGGGTGAGGAGCTGCACGGGCCTCTTCCCAGTGAGGGGCCTGGGCTGGGAGAGGTGGCTACAGGGAAATTTTGGGGTGGCTATAGTCCCCCAAGCCTCCTCCTAACATCGCCCCTACTCAAGGCATTCCCAAGGGGAAGGCAGGAGAGCGAAATACCCAGAGCAGGGGCGACACTAGGGGAAGCTTTGGGGGGAGGGGGGTGCGACTATGGCCATCCCAAAATTCCCCATAGCCCCCCTGTAGCCACCCCTCCCAGTGCCACTGCCACCCAACCCACACAGCTGAGCCCACCCTGCCCTGGCCCAGCCCCCACACTGGGAAGAAGTTGGCGCAGTCCCTGGCCCTGATCCCACAGTTGGCAGCCCGTCCTCACCTTGCACACAAGTCTGGGGAAGGCACATGCCTTCCCTTGGGGTGCGCCCAGCAGTGGGAAGCTGTCCACCCCTTTCTCCCCACCCATCCACATCCACCTGGACAAGCCACCTGCGGCTCCACAGAGCTCCCAAACCCGGGGCTGCATTCGCTGCCTTGGCTAGGCAGTAGCTGTCCCAGCCCCACTCCCTCCCTCATCATGGGGGCCTCAATCTGCTCCTGCCCACCCCCGACTTAACTGCAACGGCATTGCTCTCCATGCCGCCCAGCTGAATTCCTATAAATCAGTTATCAGATTGGTATCTGCTGATATGGTTGGTTAATAAATCGGCTAACTGTATCAGCCAAGAAAAATCTTTAAATTGGTGCACCCCTAGCTTAAATTTTATTTAAGGGTATTTAATACTAATTATAAACTACATATAAAATTACATGTCCAGAAGCTACAAGCATTTGAAGAAGACTGACCCTGTCCTGCTCCATCCATTTAGATCTCTAGAAAGTCATCAGTAATTCCACATTTGAAAGTCAGTAAATCAGTACATTTGGAAGTCACAGGTTAGTCAGCATTTAGGATACTACTTAAAAGTAGATGCTGTAGGAAACACCTGGAATATAACAGCCTCTGAAAAACAGATGACCTTTTCTGACAAGACATACCCAAGGGTGACCTCCATTAGCATGAAAGCTGCATTACCTCATCTTAAAAAAGAAAATTTGGCAAGGCTGTTTAATGCTTTGTCTGTGCTATATAAAAGTTAGAGGTTTTCAGCAACAGAATAACCAGAGTTCAGCTACACCAGTGTTAGCTCAACTGTAGATAAAATGCTGATGGCTTCTGAATTAACTGCCATATCAGATAGTCAACAGTAGCAAAAATAATAGAAACTGCTGGAATGGTGCCTACATGAGGGTTTCCACTACTATGTTCCCAATACAGCAAGAAGTTTTCTTCAACTGTCTTTAATTAAAAAAGGACAACATACTGTACTGCTTTCCATGTATTTTACCCGTTTTGTGGATGAGAATTAGGAGAACTGGGAAGAATTCAGGTTTTTGTTTTCATTTTTAAAACAGGAATTCTCAGAAGGCATTTGGATGTCCTGATGAACATACAGACATTTACCGTCTGTCAGGTGATGGAACTAATAACATCAAAAACCTGACTAAAACCTTACCTGAATTTTATTTTAAAAACTGAATTTAAATAATTATATTCATTTTTATTTTTACAATTTAAAAAAAAGGAAGTATGACAACAGCAGTTAAGCTATGAGATGACAAGGTTAGGACACCATTCTGCATGCAGAATTCTTTGCAGCTAGCAAGTTGGAAAGTTGTTACTTGTTTTAAAAACTGGAAGCTGGTTAAGTAACCTGAGGCGCCTGGTTAGCAGCATTTTAGATTTTTTTTTTTTTTAAATGGAGAATACCAATTGTTATATTCTCTATGTTGGTAGTGAAAAAACAATACATGTAGCTTTACCAAGAATACTGCTTCCCACTTGTCTCTTCCCACTCTGGGGACCAATCCATGAACTGACATGAAGAACAATTAATCCAGGTGGTCTTTGTTATTTCACAAAAATGTGCTGTCAGATATTAATTTACTTATTTTAGTGGGTTGAGGGATACATTATATTTGGAAATATCAAAGGTTACCTTAAAAGTCAGAAGAATATTGGAGATGTGGATAAATTAAAAGTTTACACTATTCTTTAGTGGTTTTAAACTTGTTTAAATGACCCCACCCCACACACACATACCAAATAACCCTAAACAAGCATAAATTCACACAATCTATGGCCAATTTGCACCTGCATAACTAAGATTTAAGCAGAAAGCAGTTAAAATATACCAATATAGGTTTCTTGGGTCCCTGGTACACATTAATTTAGGAGGCACCACAGGATCTGATCCCCAATCCCAAAAATCACTTCTCCTGAATTTGGAATCAGATGCCAACTGCACCGTGTCTTCTTGCCAATGCAGGGGGACTCTTCTGCAACAGCAACTGCCTGCAGCCCTGCATCACTAGCAGCTGACCCAGGACTAGGATCGACACTGGACAGCCAAGGGGCCAGCTCAAGACACTGAGCTGTTCCAGAACTGATAATAAGCTAACTGTGAGGCCCAGAACTGTTCAAGGGCTTCTCCTCCCCACCAAGGAAATTTAAATACTGTGCCCAAAGCTCTGGCAGGCTAGTGTGTCCAAGCCTGTGGCCCCAGCAGGGCAGCTCTGGATCCAGTTGGAGAATTGGGACTGCCCTGCAAGCCAAGACCAACAATCAGTTGGTTGTTTGGACAGTTCAGGGCAGGATGGAGACCCAGAGCTGCCACAGGCTAAAGCTGCCAAACCTGTCAGCACTGCCGGGTTGGGACCC